CAAACAGAGAGAGCACTAGCGCGGCGACACCATTCAGATAAAACCCCTTTCTTCCTGTAGATAGATTCCCTTTCTTCTTTTCTCTCCAGATTCGAGATTCTCGTCGATGGCTACAATAGTTTAGATAGGAATTCAGTTCGTTAGTATCTACTATTCCGAGCCCGTGACAAAAGGACACCACCATCATGCAATTCATATCGTACTGATTATAGAAAAACAACTCGATTGGTAGTTGAGATAAAAACACGATGAGACTGCATTGGTTGAACAACCACAAGTTACGCAGTTCGCAGATCTACCGCGTATATCACGTGAAGATTGCATCACTGACTGCGACAGATGTCTTTCAAGTGAGTTTAAACAGGTCTTATCAGATAAAGATCTACGAATACTTGGAAACTATTTGCTGTAATTCATGCATTGGTAATACTATTTAATACAGGTAGAATCGTTCACTTCGTTAGTGAAACCGCAGAACTCCATCCGAACAATCCAGACACCGAGACGTGCAAAGGAAATGGGAAAACCGTTTTGAGCGAAAAACAGGATTATTAGTATGCAATTATTTTAACCGTGGTGCTTCTTGTACATGTCGATGACCTTCTGGACCTCGTCTTTCGAGCCCAGGTAGACACCGCTGCGGTCGTGGATGTGCTCGGGCACGGCTTCGAGAAGACGTTCTGCCTTGGAGTTGACGGCCAAACCGCCTGCGTTCTCGAACAACATGGCCATGGGAGCACACTCGTACAAGATACGGAGCTTGCCCTTGGTGCTCTTGGAGTCGGCGGGGTAGGCAAAGAGACCACCGTAGAGAAGGGTACGGTATGCATCGGCGACCATGCTACCAATGTAACGAGCGCTGTATGGCTTCTTGCCCTCTCCGGGGAACTTCAGGGAGTGGAAGTACTCGTTCACCCAAGGAGCCCAGTACATGCTGTTACCCTCGTTGACCGAGTAGATACCCTTCTTGGGAGGCATCTTCATGCTGGGGTGGGTCAGGATGAACTCTCCCAGAGAGTTTTCCATAGTGAAGCCGTTGACATCACCATCACGCATGGTGATCACCAGCTGAGCAGATGCACCATACATGGTGAATCCAGCCGAGATCATCTCCGTTCCGGGACGAAGGATTTCCTTGGCGGTGACCTTCTTGTTCGGGCCGAGGACCTCATCTGGCAGCTTATAGATACCGAAGATTGTGCCAACCGAAACGCCTGCGTCAAGGTTGGAAGAACCGTCGATGGGGTCACAGACAACGGCGTAGCGGGCGTTGGGGTGTTCATCGAAAATAATCTCTTGCTCCTCCTCCTCCGAGATGAGGATGCGGCACTTGCCGGAGCTTCTCATTGCAGAGACGAAGATATCATTTCCAATCACATCCAGCTTCTTCTGATCATCACCGGTAGTGTTCGAGGACCCAGCCAGTCCAGTGAGGTTGATCAAGGAGGCACGACGGATGTAGTAGGCAATGGACTTGAAAGCGAACTGAAGGGCGTGGCAGAGGAGACTGTAGAAGGACAACCGGGTTAGTTCTTTGTCATGATCCAATTCCAAATGGGAGAAGATACGTACGTGAAGTCACCAGTGGCCTCTGGCGCCTTGACTTGCTGTTCGGTAAAGAATCTAGTGAGGGTGACGATGTCGGTGTTGATGTTCTCCTGGCCGACAGGAGGAGCGTCGCCGTTGTTCGCCATTGTGGGTGATAAGAGAGGGATGGAGTAAGGACAAGTGGGAGAAGAAGTGATTGTAGTTGAGAAGTAGGTGAGATGAAGAAGGAACTAGGAGAAGTCGGAGGGTTATATATGAAAGTGAATACCTCGGTTTGACGGATTTCGGAAGAAGATAAAGGGAGGAGAAAGAGGGAAAGACGACCACGATTCCTGGTTAAGTATCCGTACCAGAGGTATGTGAGGACAACTAGGAGCTAGTACTCCGGAGTACTGCACTCAGGGATGATATCAGAACTCGTGGCAACCGGGTCAAGGCAAAGAGACACGCTTAACAAGCACAAGCACCATCAATCGTTAATGGAAACTTCTTTTCTTCTCGAAAGATTGACATTCCCCAATAATTGACGCCCATCCTCATCATAGTATTGGGCCAGTGTATCCTGATGCCCGTGGGAAACGTCAGACCGGAGCAAACCGGTGACGCAATGGCTGTATTGTATGTATCCATGCTGTATCCTTACAGGCGGTCTCTACTGTAATCTACTGGCTTTTCGTCATTACCCGTTCCATATCCCCGCCCTAAGCCTAACCAGGAAAGTCGCCGGTTAGTTCTCTTGAATTTCCCGGCAATCCCCGCTATCTTGTGATCACTTGTAGAGGGTTCAATTGTCTACAAGAGCATTCCTACTGAGTACGTACTGTACTGTATACCGCCCCTATTCCGCGCCCCATCCCGAATAACACATCCCTTTCATTAAACAGTGGGCTGCACAGGGTCAGCAGACATGCACATTTTTTCTCTCGAAGCCGCCCACCTGGAAACTATTGGGGTCTCGCCAGAAATCGGCTTTAGTCAGTTGGTCACGCGCAGGCGGGAAAATGATTGTCCTGCTTGATCGACAATTGTCCTTTTTTTCGCCGGTCAGCTGACTTTTGTCCAGGGATATAAAAAGCAAATGCCATGTTGCTTATCTAATGCTTGCCATTCTCGGTTAATGTTGAGGCTCTAATGAGGCTAAACTACTTCAAGCTAGAGTCTCGGTAAAAACTAGATCCGGCCGGTGGAGAGAGCTTGAAAAAGATCGCGCAGAGAATTTTTCTTCTAAACTTCCACCTCCCACAACAGAGAAAAATCCTCCGATTTCGAGGATCAACAAGGACATTATGCTGTTCTATCAACAAGATCTTGCTCAATCACTCTGCTTTGTTGATACTAACACAGTCTTGGTAAGTTCCTTCGAAATCAACCCCTCCCCCAGCATGATGACACCCATAACCAAACAAACTAGAGTCTTTGACCTTTCGGGGCGTGAAAACTCTGTTATTTGCACGTCAGTCTGATTGATCATCATTCGCATTGCATTGATCACTTCTGAAACTTGGACTTGAAGCTAACGTTCCTGTCAAGATTAACAGGTCATGTCTCGCATAAGCGAACGAAAAAAAAAAAAAAAAAAACAGTATTCGCTATTCTGGTAGGTCTCACTTTTTCTTTATGTTTTTGCAATACTTTTGAATGATGACCTTCGTATTTAAATACGCTGGAAATTACCGACCGAGACCTTCGGGTCGCCGACGATACAAATTGGCTGTTGTCTGACAAATCTTCAATTCCTGTTTTATCTCACAATGCCTTGTCCATGCATTTGCTAACTTTGTGCAAGACTTTGTAGGAATACAGAACTTGTCCGTGTCCAATCGCTCCCAACAATCAATGGTAAGCGTCTCGACTACCCTTCGCACCTCCGAATCTTCCAAAGATGAAGCGGCACTGGGCTCCGACGGCGTCCTGACAGACGACCGGTCGTGATGGATATGCCTATTTGCGGCAGGCCTAGAAAACCTCGCCCACTGAGAACCTTTCGATAATCTCGATGACACTTGATTGTTATGTCTTGACATGATTCTGACTGTCTCGAATAGTAGTTGTCCTGATTGAATTTCAATCATTGGTAGAAGCTTTCCAAAAGGTAATTCTTTCCAGTTTTCTTCCGTGCCCCAACCTACCGTGATGATTCCCTAGATGACGAGTCTTATTCGAGTTATCGATGCAGACAACATCCTTTTTAACCATTCATGCTTCTCTGACATCCGTCTATTCGATTTCTGTATTGCCTTGCGACTAGTTGTCAGTTGCTAACTTGCTTGCAGTGATGTACTCTTCCCTTAAACAACATGATGAACTGTCTGCAGCCTGCATACAAAGTGTATGTACCTGTCAAGTTCCTTTTCTTGCACTGCGTTACATGATGAATCGACATTACAACAAAGACAAGCATATGTCCAAGTCGACGTCAGTTGACCAGGACGACACCGTCATGTCTGACCAATCGAAATATCTTGTTTACACTGCTGTACTCGACAAGTCTCGATGCTGACTCTGTTCGCAGAGATTTGATTCTCATAGGATGAACTAACCGTAGACAGCGTTCTTGTTGTCTCTGGCATCTCAATTGTGAGTGAAATTCCCGTTTCCCATTTGCGCTCCCCTCTTTCAATGATGATTTACTTTTATTTAATCACGACGGTCAACATAATCATTTTAATTGATGACCACTGCCTGTGACAGGGCATTTATCTGACACAATTCCTACTCTACTTTGCACTCGATCAGTTAGTTATCACATGTCAGTGGATATAGTGCTAACGTCGACTTAAGAACAGATTCCGAGGTTAGTCCTTGACTCCGTGAGTCGTGTGCACTGCATTCATGAATAGCACCGGAGCGGCCGATGGGCCGCTGTCGAATCAAAGTATCGCAAGAGATGCTAGTACTAGTATGGAGTTGTCTCAAGTTTAGATAGAATCAAAAATAGCATCTTGGTGATTTCGTACATGACTTTCCTGTCCGTCCCACGCGGTGTAGGCCGACATTGTCCTGTGAGGGACTGCGTTTAAATAGCCCTATCTGCCAATCCTTAATCGTTTGGGTTGGATGACCGATCTACGCCAATCCTTACCGGTACCAAGAGACTCCTTTATTGCTTTTTGGCCGTGTGTTCTGACCATTCACAATTGATGACCGGAAGCGTTGGACCGGGATAGATGTGACGGCGCTTGGGGTTGACCTGTGAGAGGGCGGGGATTAAGCGCCTACCTCCCACGCCGGGTGTGACGAGCGGCGTTGGCTGCATGTGCAGAAGCCAATTAGTCTCTTTGGGCCGGTCGGGGTCTGTTGCTTTTATTTTCTTCCCGTGTGTTATTCTTCCTTTTCGTTTCTTTTCTGGTGGTTTATTTTTATCGCATCCCTGGTCGGTGAATCTTACGAGTTATGTCCGTCTACCGGCCGATGGGTCACTCCTGCAGTTGCAAAGAATAGAAACAACTGAATTTCTGGTTCTTTCGCGCTTCCCTGTCCATTCATCCTTTGTCGCGTCTGTTGGAAAAATCCCCAGGGAGTGTTGGCTACTCAGTCTGCCTCTCGCAATTTCCTGCGCGCGGCTTTGAGGAAGCCATGTCTGGTCCCCTCATGATATTGCCGCCAGTATGAATAGGTGCGCAGTCCCCTCCCCCGCGCATCTGTTGTCCAACCCTGTCTATCGGTTCTATTTACAACCCTCGGAGATACTGACTGGCCTCTGTGTGTAGCTCGTTCTCGTCAAGCAGCAACGCTGGAGAGGCTCACCATTCTCGCAGCGGCTGGTCGACCACTCCTACCGGCACCGTCAGCAATCAGCCGTCTCCCAGTCGTCGCGAACATGCGGTGCAGCCTCCTCCTCTTACGACAGCATTGAGTGGTCATCAGTTCCAGGGATTGGGTGTTACTTTGGGTTCGGGCTACGCCTCGACTCCTTTGTCGACCACTTCGCTTTCCAGTCCTTTCACCCAGAGTCAGTCCCCGTGTGTGTCTTCTCCCAGCAGTGCTGCTGTTGCACCATCGCCCATGGCGTCCAGGCATTACAATGTTCCCTACAATCCTCGCGATTGGGGTCCGGTTAGTAGCAGCTCGTCAGCGAACTCCGGACAGTCCGCCTATCCGCAACCTAGCAGTTCCAATAGCTTGCGTCGAAGTGTGCGTCGTCCGCCGCAAAATGACCCAGGTCTGAACTATTCTTTTTCTTTGCTTATTACTTCTTGAGAAGGAAACTTTCTGACATCATGTGTTATGCGCATAGATGTTTCTTTATCGCCTCCGCCCCCGCCGTACTCACCCCCAAGCCATCAACATCAACACCAACCATCGTGGGATGCCGTTCATCACAATCCGGTCAGGGAGGCACCCGCAAATGCGGCTCCCCCATACCCTGGGCCAAGCAATATGAATGCTGAGCCTATGGTGAACCATCGACAGCGCACTGTCTCTCATCCTCGCCCGCTATCGGTGGTTCACATGGGTGATGCAGGCCCCAGTTCGCAGATATCACTTCCTCCACCTCCGCCGTTACCGCAAGGAGGCCCGCCTCCAAGGACGTCTTCTCAGAATCGTCACGATGTTTACCATGGCATGAGCTCCGGGCCATCAATCATGGTCTCGCAGGACGGTCCGCAATTCCCAACAACTGCGGACCATGGGCACGCAGTAGCTGGACAGTTGGACCCTGTTGCTTCACGCCCGCCAACTTCCAGAAGGGCCGTTTCCGCAGGCCCAGTTGTGGGAAGTGCCAGTTCATCAAGGGCTGGCAGTCAATCACCGAGCAGGTCACCACCACCACGGGCCTGGGAGCCAGGAATGCCCCTGCCACCACCTCCGCCGGGACCTCCACCAACTTCGAGGTCACGTAGTGTGTGTGGCTCACCAGAGGCGTCATCTTCAAGGAATAACATGAATGTGCCCGTCAAGACAAGGGTGCGGGCGCCTCCATCACTAGGAACTGGCTTGGGTAGCATCCCACCTACGCCTGCTGGCTGGGTGGACGACGAATCTCAGCATGGTAAGGGTAAAGACTTATCAACGACTGAAGCAAATGGCACATCCCCGCCGTCTTATACGGCACCCGATTCAGACAATTTTGTCCATCCTTCGACAAGCCGTGGTAATCTTCTCCGCAGTCCTGCTCTTCGAGACCCGAGCGCCAAGGGTATTCGAGAGAGGAGAATCGAACGCAGAAACCGCCAAAGCCAGGTCTTCGAAGACTCTGATGTCCTACCTCCTGATAACACATGGGGTGACGGTGTGGATCAAGTAAAGCCCTCAAACCTCGTTCTTGCTAATCCGAATGGCGACCCCCGCGACTCCCGCGACTCTCGTGCTCCATCATCCGCAAAGTATACACCGCGTAGTGCTCACAGCTTTGGATCGGACACGCCGCAGTCAACTTCACGTTCGAGAGCTTCTTCCATTGGTCTTTTCTCCAGTCGATCTTCTTTCTCCACGCCCAGAGCTGAGCCTAGTCCAGCTGCACCGACGCGTAGATATACGCAAACACCTCCCTTCTCGCCAGACGGGGATCATCCATCCCCATATCCTAAAGCAATGCCGCAGCCTTTGCCTCCAAAGGCACTCCCAACGCCGCCATTGCAGTCTGCGCGAGAGGGTAAAATGCCGTCTCGTCCTTCGTCTAGGGAAGAGCGCCCGATATCACATGTGCGCCATTTGTCCAATAGTTCCATGTCTTCTGAGTCTCCAATACTGCACCATCGCTCGTCCATATCGAAGGAATCAGCACCGGATCCCATCAAGCGAGACACGGATGGGTTCTTCCAGGATGCTGTGCAGCGACATAAGGATTTTATTGAGAAGGAAGCTAGCGCTGCAGACGAGGCTGAAGCTCTGAAACTCTTCGCAGATTTCATTGTCTCTGAGTCGCGTATGAGGCGTCAACGGTACTCCCAGGCCTGGAACTCGGGATCATTCGACCACGAGGAAGTGCGTCGAAAACTGTTTGAAACACCACCGATTCAACCACCACCAGGCCCTGAACCCATCAATGCAGCGCCAGCAGTTGTGCCGGTGAGGCGACCATCCATAGGGCCAAAGCTCGACATGTCACATGTCAGCCGCCTTGAGCCTTCTTGGGGAAATAGCTACAAACCATCCCTGTCCCCTATTGCAAGTCTCAGTATAAGCAACGATGAAATGAGCTCACGAGGCCGTGCACCCAGCCGCTGGTGGGAGTCCAAGACCGGCTCGAGCAGCGAAGGAGATGGACGCAAGGTTCATCGCTCGAAACAAGAGTCGAAATACATGGGATTATCGCTGGGGTCCTTGCAAGAGAACCATCACCAACCTCCCTCCGAAGCTGAAGCGCCAGGCTCCTCTCTGGACTCAATGGGCCAGTATGCCGCGTACGGTCCAAACGAGTACCCTCCAGAGAAAGTTGGCTGGCATGAAGAGTTGGCACCGCCCCCAGATCCATACATGGCAAGCAGTAGTTATGTCGAGCCACCTAAGATGGACGTGTCGCGGCTGATTACCCTCCCTCCGCCGTACCCGCGTCACTATCCTGCTGTCAATAACAACCACCCGGACTTGGTTGAGTATCGAACATTGGTCCGATCAATCAGTGACCTCTCCGAGATCAAAGCCATGAGACAACGACATGACGGTGAAGTGGACCGTTTATTCCAGGACCACAAGGAAAGAACCCGTGAATGCCGTCGCATGTTCAAAGCCAACACACAGACTCAGATTCAACATGGTAGTATAACCTTTTCCGAAGCCGCTGAGGCAGAAGCTGCACTAGTCCTGGAAGAAAATAAACTCGATAGAGCACTGGTGAAGCGGGTTTTGGATCTGTACCAAACTTCTGTGTTGGAACCAACGCATGGCATACTCACGGATCGGATTTCACGGGCAACTGGTTGTATTGATGAACTTAGTAGCAAACTGTTCGATGATGCACGGCATGGAACTCCGGACCAAGCGCAGGAAGAGGGTGACGAGAAACCCGAACTGCTAGAAAAGCTCACGCAGCTCAAATGGCTATTCGAAACTCGAGAAGTCCTGCATCGAGAAATGTACGACCTAGTCCGCGCGCGCAACGAGAAATATAGAACGGTCGTGGTCCTCCCCTACCGTCAAAAAGCAGTCGACGAAAAAGTCCACGAAACAAATGCCTTCTTCGACCAAGACGCACTAGATCGCCGCGCCCAATACGAATTCAACACCCTCTCCCGCCTCGAATCCTTCCTCGACGTAATCGAGTCAAATGTCGTTCGCGGTGTGGAAGTCCAACTCTCCGCTTTCTGGGACATCGCCCCCTCCCTCCTCACCCTAATCGACCAAATCCCACCAGACCTCAACGGCTTCGAAGTCCAAATCCCCGCAAACGAATACGAGGAAAACCCAAGCTACCACCGCCATCCACTACAATACCTCTACTCCCTTCTCTCGCATGCAGAGAAATCGAGCTACCAATACATCGAATCCCAAACCAACCTCCTCTGTCTGCTCCACGAGGTCAAATCCGCCGTAATGCGCGCAAACTGCCAACTCATGGAAGCTGAGCGTACGCGACGGGGCGAACCGGGTGATGGAGTACAGCGCGAGATTATGGATACAAGGGCCAGTGAGGAACGGGCGCTCACGGCTGATCTGAAGGATAAAGTTTCTACGGTGGAGGTACAATGGACGGAGGCGATGGGTAGCCAGATTCAGGAGCTGAGGGAGAGGGTTAGGATGCAGCTTGAGGCGGAGGATGGGTGGGAGGAGATGGAGGTGCTGGAGCAGACGTGATTGTGGTTTTCTGATGAGATTATGCCGTTTTTACATTCTTGGGGTTTGATTTGACGATGGTTATATTTTTGATGCTTTGCTGGAAACGTCCCTTTTGGTGATACCCATTCGTTCGTTATCGTTATATACCTTCGCTTGTACAGAGATCTTGGACCTGCCGGATTATGCTATATTGCTTATGTTCATTTTACTCTTTGGTCCCGGCCCTATATTGGTAAGGCAAATTCCAAAAGTAGTAACTAGTACTCCGTACGGCGCCTACATTCTACGTGCTCAGAACATATTCGAGATCAAACTATCTTTCCATAAATGAGACGTCCCTTTCCTATTACCGATAAAAAATAATATCAATCCGATTGAACGAGCATAGCTGCCTTCAGAATCTCGTATTAACAGATGTAAACGCTGGCTATCCATAAGACTGCGATGCGGACGAATACGCACTTCGAGTAAGAAATCAATAATAGTAGAAAGCACAAGGAAAACCACGAAGTATTCATCGCTATGCTTGGGACCATACAGTTCTTCAACCTCAGGGATATGTTGTAATTCCTGGGCCAAGGTCGAGACGTAGTCGTCTTGGTAGTGTCAAGCCGTGTCGAGGTCAATGAAGCTGGCGATCAAATCCTGTTCCACCAATTCAGAAAGTAGCTCCTCAGTTCACGAAACTTGGGCGATTTGCCAAGCGATTGTCTTTACAACACTTGTTTTCAGATCATTCCCGCCGTTTCCATCTAGGACAAATTGACATGCGGTAGCAAGCGTGCAACGATTTTGTTCGGCGGCTGCGGAGCCGAGCTCTTCGAGGCATTCCTAGATGGTTAGGAGGTCCATGTCAGATGCGTTGGAATGGAGGGTGTATGTCATTTTTGACGAAAGCGGAGAAAGTTTGAGAAGGATGGGTCTTGTTGAAGCAATTCGACCAGAAATTGATTCCGAATCAACGTGAGGTAGATGTCGCACACCAGATTTGCTCGATATTGATAAAATGCCCTGTACGTCTGGAATGCTGCGCCTTTGCTTCGTGAGCCACCGCAGCACACAACACAAAGTGATGAATCGAAACTGATTAAGTGGATGAGATCCTCTACAGCACTTAACGTAATCCACGGCCGAGCCGTCCACACGGCCGTCCCGTCCACTTCCTCCGCAACCACCACGAATTTGAAGCTTTGCAACCACTAACACCATTGAATTAAAATATATAACAGACAAAATATCTAGCTATTTATTAGGGCAGCTTCTTATTGTATGCCCAACAGTCCCACAGCCACTACAGCGTGGTGAAGCGCGTTGACGAGGCATAGGTGTAAGCTCATCAACCTGCTCATTAAGCTGTGTATCAAGCTGCTGTATATGCTCACGGCCTTCTTGTACAGAGATAAATAAATCATTCCCTAGAGAAGCACGTTTCCTTGCCTTCTTCTTTATTTTACGTTCACCTTCAGCTCGTAGAACCTTGATTTCTTGATG